CCATCATTTGGAACGATAAATACAATATAATTTGTCATCGCTCAACATACAAATAGATAGAAATTGCAATTAACTAGCAGGTCAGCATATCAATTGAATGTAGCAACAAAAAAAATATTCCTCCGTCCCATTTCCATTTTGTAAGATACACTCACCTTTTTGGTTTGTCCCATAATTTCCTAAATTGAACTCCACTAACTTTTTACTTTCATACTTTATCCCTTGTTCATCATTTCCTCTTCTACTTTTTGTGGACTCATCTTACTTTTTCTTACTTTTGGAGGTTAGAATTGTATAGCAACTTTGTCCTTTATTTTCTTAAACCCGCACCAAACCCATATCTATCTTACATTATGGGACGGAGAGAGTATTAAACACCAATCATAACCTTGTACACACAAAGCCTGCCAAAAATGACAAGAAAAGGAACTCACCCTGAGATCCTCAATAACAACCTTTAGATGCTCATTTTCATTCATCAGCTTTGCGATTTCATCAGCCTTTGCCTATAAGTGAAGATTAAAAATTAGTATGATTGACTTTTGAACAACACATTTTAATAGTTAGTAGAAAATAAGCATGGTGTGCTGTGAACAAGTGAATTAACTACACTTTTCTCAACACGCGGCAAAAGTTTTTATCACTGGGGGAAATCCTAATGAACTTTGGTAGGTCAATTCAGAACTTCGAGGGTTAGTGCACTGTGAATTTTGTACACATGCGCTTTTAGGAAACTAGTTGCTGCAGATAATTTTGTATCTAGTTGTCATAAGGATTATGAGACTGTGATGCACTTGCTAACCTAAAACCTGCTATCTGATTCTTTGAAGAAGAAAATAACAGGAGAATTCAGGGAAACAAATGATAGGCGGAAAAATTTAAAGTGACATAAAACACTTTATATATCCAACTTAAAAAGGGCAGCCAGGTGCACGAAGGCATCCTGCACGGCGAGGGTCTAGGGAAGGGTCCCACCACAAGGGTGTATAAGGGGCAAGCCTTTCCCTGTCAAATATTTGACAAGAGGTCGCTCCCAAGACTTGAACCTGTGACCTCTCAGTCACACAGCAACACTATATATCCAACTGTGACCAAAAAAATCTGGAGCTCATGTTGGCACACTTTAGTGTCCCCACATTACCAAATGCAGAAATTAAGTCACACAATCCATATGGATCATATGTCAGTTTGATGGGACTCCCATGACTTCATTTCTAGAGTAGGTAGTGTGGGGGCATTAATGTGTGCCTACTTGGGCTCTTTAGACTACCAACTGTGGTGGAAAAATGACACCATCTATTACAAAGTTCCATTTACCATTGCCAATCCAATGTGCTTCCATATATTTTAAGACTTCATATGGTGCATTCATATGGTGCACAACTCTATCCATACATATGGTGCACAAATTACTCCATGTTATTCATAAACAAATCTACCTGTGCTTGTCTAGCAGCTCCTAATAGTGCACTTTCCATCATTTTCATCTCCCTTTTGACCTTTTCCAGTTCATCAACCATATTGGCAGCATCTGTGGAGTTGATCCCGGAACTCAACTGTTCTGCAATATCAACTACATTATCAATTGCTCGCTGGTTGACCTCAACAGCTTGAGCAATTGCACTAGTTGTATGTGAACTTGAATCTTCTTCATCACGTTGAGCAATAAGAAAGCTAGTTTCATGTTGTTCCTCGGCAGGTCCAGTTTGAGTAGATTTGACCAAGTCAGAAACGGAATGTATTCCACTTTCAGAATGACTAGTTGATTCATACTGAAACTCAGTGGGAGAAATTTCCTCTTCGTTGCCTTCCTCACGTTCTTCAGTGTCATTTGTGTTTTCCTGTGAAATAACAACATCATGGGATGGATGAAGCACTGAGGTACGAATTTCATCTTGACGGGCACTGATACTTGATTTTGTGTCCAACTCTGCAATATCTCCAATATATTCTTCATTTGAAGTCTCCTTTTCCAGCGATTTAGAAGAACTCGCTTCTTCAGCATGTTCAGGTTTGCTTTCAAGCACTTCAGTTGGCAAATCAGGTTCATTTTCTCTTTCAACTAGAGCACTAATAATTTTTTGTTCTTCACTTACAGGATTTGTTTCCTCAGAAGAATCTTGTTTTATTATGTCTACATCAGCTTCTTTATCGGATATAGTTGGCTCCGATTTTGCATCTTCATCTCTTACTTCTACGGTAGACGTAACTGGCTCTTGTTTCAGATAAGCACTGCCTGCTTCTTCAGAAGAATACTCTTGCTCCAAATCAGCTTTTCGTGCCAGACCATTATCTTCTTTACCAGATGTAGCCATTTCAATACTTCTTGTTTCTGCATCATTGCTTTCAATAGGGTCAGCATGTTTATCACTTTCCGATCCAACAGAATCATCAATGGCTGTTTCCACATCAACAGCGATGGACTTTGAGGAGTCAGCTTCTTCTATAGATTCAGTTTCTTCACCACCTTTATGTCCCATAAAGGCTGATGGCCATAACCCTGATGCTGATGGCCATAACACTGATGCTGGTAAGTGATAACCACATAAAAACAAGTCAGCAACAAATAAAGCAACAAACTGAACTTCCCTAAGAAAGCAAGTACTGTGTACTATGAGGCGTTCCTTTTTCCAGTTAAATAGAAGACAATCCAATGACATTAATAAGACAAATGATCTTCTCATTTCACGGTTTAAATTTCAAAAGATATTTCTCCAATAACAATTATGATACACAGTTGCTTACTAACATATTCATTCTGAAATACCACTCCGCTAGATGCAAATGTTATTAAAGGCACTCATGCCAGCATGCTTTCGTGACTCAATGAAAGAATTGTACAGAACACGCAATAAACATAACCTGAGCTAGTAATCTTTAGCTATTAAATTCAATAGAAAAGCATTGACGATAGTAAGGGGCTAAGAGGACTGTGAGGTACCTTCGCTGCTACTGGCATCAGATTTATCCTCAAGGCCTAGAGCGCTATCGAAGTTTTTCTCAATGTTCTTAACGCCCTCACTTAGTTTGTTCACGGCGCCGGCGAGATCCAAGCTCCCGAGAGAGACTCTGTTACTAAACCACGCCATCTTCTCGATAAATTACACTCGATCAAACACTTTAATCACATCGCTAGCTCCACCAATCTGCCTAATTAAATGAAAATCAATAAACATCAATAAAATTTACGGGGCAGAATCACAAAATAATGAATGTCAGTAGCTGAAATGGGTAGTTTTCATTTTTGAAGCAATGGCTTTTGTAGATATATCGTGATAATTTACAGATCTCAGGGCAGTTGTGCGTCCATACTGGGATAATGTAACATTGTAACCTTTGTATGAAGATATTTCACTGAGCTGCGTATTCAGCGAGGGAGAGAAAACGGTGTACGGCAATACAAAATTATCTTCCCGGCACAGCGATGGCATGTCACGCCGACGGTCCCTTAATTCGCTTTTTCTTTCTTTTCCCTGTTTTATTCGGAATAAAGAAATAATAATTGCACTAACCTCCTTCAAGCTTAAACGAATTGTATACGCATTGTGTATTGACTTCTAAAAAAGTCAATATGGATTGTATTCAATATGGATTGTGGTGGACTTTTTTTTAATCCATATACTTCTAAAAAAGTCTATGGACTTCTAAAAAAGTCTATGGACTTTTAAATTCATAGACTTTTAATCCGCTGACTTTTAAATCTGTAGACTTTTAAATCCGTGGACTTTTAAAATAAATGACTTTTAAACGAGTGACTTCTATGGATTCAATAAATCCATAGACTTTTACTTGGACTTATTTCATACCAGATCTAACTAGATCAGACTTTAACAAAGCAAATCAGACTTTAATAAATAAGAATCGCTACATAGAAAATATGACAAATAGTGTCAAATATAATAGCTAATGTTCTCTATTCCGAATGAGGTCAAGCATAAGCATTAAAAAATTATAAGAAAAAAAAATAAAGTCATCAATGCACAAAATGGGAACAAACGTCTTGTGCTACTCAACTATGGATCAAAATTATTCATTTTCTGCAGCTTCCCACATTTGAGTAGCAAGATTCATCCTCCATTCATTGGCCTTTCCCTTTGTTGATCTTGTGTCTGAAAGTTATCCCATTCAAGATTGTCCTCATCATCGCTAGGTGGGTCTTCTTCTGGGTCCGGAGGAAATTCGTCGGATCGACATTCACGTCGAAGAAAATTATGTACTCCTGCACATGCCAAAACTAATTCTGCTTGTGTTTTATAAGAGAAAGGAGGTGCTGTTTTGAAGATTGTGAAGCGTGACTTGAATATTCCAAATATCCGTTCAATCACATTCCTCAAAGAAGCATGACGAAGATTGAATAGTTCAACCGCATTAACAGGGTGATTTCCTTCACCACCAAAATCCTTTAGATGATACCGAGTACCTCGAAATGGAGCTAAAAATTGACACCGATTTGCAAATCCACAAAATCCCCCAAATAATATTTTCCTAGACATTGAATCATTACACAATTAGTCTATTATACAATGCAATAAGTAATTGGTAACAGAGATTTGGATAAACATGTTAAAGTGTACCTGGTGGCACTTTAAGACCATTTGGTCTTGAAATTGCATCATTTAACACTTTTGAATCATGGGCAGAACCCTCCCAACCACTAAGCACATATATGAATTGCAAATCAAAGTTGCAAGCAGCTAGTACATTTTGAGATATAGTCCCATGACGATTTCGATAGCTGTTCACTTCTCGTCCAGGTACGATTGCTGGAATATGAGTGCCATCTATTGCTCCGATGCAATCCTAGCATTAGGAAAAGAAGAAATACCAAAAAAATAATTAATCGATCATCATTAATCATGTAAAATTGGTGAAGTGCATTAGGAAAAAAAATACCAAAAAAAATTAATTAATCATCCTTAATCATCAATAAAGTTTTGCATTACTGACCTTGAAATGAGGATAAAACCTTGTACTCTGTCTGATGACATGTGGTATAGATTCCGGTTTGGCCATAAAGTCGGGAGCTATTGTATTCAACGCTTTCAATACTTTGTTGAAGCTTCTGCTAATGCTGAAGTGTGACCGCTTAAATATCATTCTTGGTTGACAATAGCGGTTATTTTGGCCGATAATAAGTAAAAATGTTGCCACCATTTCTTCAACACAAATATACCTTGTATCTCTTAAAGGGGTTTTGTTTCTTAGGATACAACATAATTTTTGAAAAATGTTAGGATACATTCTGTATACATTTCTAAATGTTTTAGGATCTTCGGCCATTATTTCATCCATATATTTAATCCCATTAGCCGTCACAGGTCGACGAGTCAATGGGCGTGGAACAGGTTCATCATTAATTCTTGAAGCGAGATTGTATATCAAGTAAGTTACTGCTTCTATTGCCATTAGCAATATCTTAAGAGTCCCATAAAACTCAACCTCATCTTCATCTGCTCCATACACATTTGTTTCACACATTGCTAAAAGAAGAAAAAAGGCATAAACTTTAAAAAGTGAACTGTGATGTATTTTATAATAAAAGCATTCTAACGGATAATACATAAAATAGTTCAAATAATCCATATCACTTTGCAATCCAAATAAATTAAATCACTCCAACAAAAGATAAAGTAAATACGCAACCATGGCCTATTTATTATTAGATATCTCTAGAGGACGAATCTAATGAAGCTGTTTAACGATTGACGATCCAGTGATAGCGTTGTTCGGGGGTCATTCTTAAAAAGAAATCTTGCTTTGCTTTCGTATTCAGCAAATCAAGAGCTTTAAAGCAATCCTCGTCTGTTAATCCAGGGGTCTCTTTCATAGCATCCAAAACATCATTGTCCCTTGCTTCTCTCTTCTCCATTAAATAACAAATTTTATCAAAACTCTTAACAATTTTATTAAACTCTGTTGACAAGCTCTCAATAACCTCTCCGTGACTATTAGGTTCCTTTGTTCTTCCATTGTTCTCAAAATCATTTCTACCCCTTTTTCCTTTAGCTCTATTGCTTGATGAAGGTGGATCCTCTATATTTCTACCACCATCTTGGGGAAGATATGATGAGTCCTCCTGGTGGGATGATGCATTTTCACTCGGTGTGAACGTGTTAGTATTTGGATCAAAAAATAACCCATCAATGCCACCAATTCCACCCGATTCATCATCTACTCCTAACACTGTAGCATCCGTATTTTCACCAAGACCAATTGCACCCATCCCAGTTGCAGTTCCATTTCCCACTGCGATTCTCAGATCCTCATAGTCCGGACAAGTTTCTGATCGAAGGTGTGCATGTTCTTTATGTGATTGATATATAAAAAATATAAAATCTGTTATTATGATGTTAAAAAATAGATACACAAATGAATAAAAAAATGCCCACCTTCAGGTAGTCAGCCCATACTTCTTCGGAAGCAGTGAATTTCTTTGTGGATGCATCCCATCCGAATCCAGAGTTGTGCCGCATAAGTTGAGAGTAATTGGAGTATTGTTTTTTAAACCATTTGAGTCTACTTTGGTAATGATTAAAACTAATTTCATAACCAAGCTTTTCCTTAAGTTTAGGAAGGAGTCTGGTCTCTACCATTTGTTTAGTTATCACACCATTTATATCATGAAGGCCAAGTTTGGCACTTTCAACCATTAGCTGAAGCAAGACATTACTCTCTTCTATGGTCCAAGTTTTATAATCCTTTTTTTTCCATTACCTTGTGAATCACCCATCTACAAGACATGTAAAACCAATCACACAAACAATAAAGACAAACTCATACCGTTTGACTTTAGTAATTAGTGGTGTTAGTTAACACATCTTTAAATAAAATCCAGTCAGTCCTCTTTATATATATAAAATCTCACACGCCATGATTTTAAAGTAAAAACGAAAACAAAAAAATATATATTGAAAATCGGATGGACTATAATGGGCAGGAATAGAAAAAACATTTTTATATACTCTACGGAATGTCCTTAGTCGAGTTGTGATTGCTTAGGTTGTCCACCAAATAGAGCAGCAACAGTAGTACTCTGTTCATAATCCTTTCTCAAAACAATAATAGGAGTGATCGAATTACTGCTGGATCGTACGTATACTTTGTAAATAAAAAGGGGTACAAAAAGCAGATAGAAACCCAAATAACAACAAAACTATAATAGTCATACTAATAATAAAAAAGGTAAACAAAAAAGCCCAACTGCCATTCCCTGCTTATGAACATACTACGCATTTTAGGCTTGTCTGTAGGCTCCCTGCTTTTATTTTTTTTAATTGAAAAAAACATACACAAGAGACCATATCCGAATGGTGGAGGTTGATTTACAGTGCACTAAACATTCAGACCTTGTTCTAAATTACTCCTACCAACACCAATCACACAACTCCATAGCTTAGGAAGAAGTTGATGATATCATCAAAATTAAATTGAAGTAAGTGATGATCCACTTTTGCAATTTGGTATAGTCTTTTGAAAAAAGATATATAGTGGAGAGGTAAACATTATAAGTTCGGTCTTGTTATTTATATAAATATACATATGTATACATATACATATAAATACATAGCACACATAGGAATAATGATAGGAATACATGTAAACATTATAAGTTCGATCTTGTTAAAATTCGAGTTTAAAAGCACAATTCAATGAAGAAGATATCCAAGAGCAGATGCGTACATACCTGGGACAGAAGAGGCGAGTTGGGCGAGACGTACAAGAGCAGAGGCGTGAAAACCCTACGGGGGAGAAAGTCTGCGTAAAATAATTGGGTGGAGCACGAGACAATTCAATCGAATGGGTATGTATACGAGTTGTTCTAAAGTCCATGAGAATCCACTATTTTTAAAATCCACAAGATTTGTAAATTTTTTGAATACACCCATACTTTTATTGACTTTTAAAAGTCCTTATTGAATACACCTAAACTTTGATAGACTTTTAAAAGTCTATATTCAATACACCTAGATTTTTAAAGTCCATGGACTTCTAATATTTTGCCACTAAATCCAAATACAATACACCCCCCTTAGTCTATTATTCTTTTTTTAAAGGACCTTACTTTTTTTTTATTTATTTATTTTATTTTTAAAAGGACCTTACTATAGGGTTAAATAACTATATAGCTTAAATAAACACAAGTGAACAAAATAATAGCCTCTGTTTTAATTATTTAAATGCATAGCCCATTTGAGACGCTCTGCTCGTCTATTTCCCTTTTTAACCTTGTCATATTAAAATCCCATTAACTTCAATTCACACGCATTGTACATTCCGCTGCTTTTCACCTGGAGATTTGCTTCTATTACAGTTAGTTTAAAAATGAATCACCTCCTCTGCCTTTGACATAATTCTCCTTCCATCGAATAGATTTATATGAAAAAATATAAAAGTATAAAGTCGGAGTTTGGTTTCAATTTCAAGAATCTGGGTTTTTTCATTTTCACGGAGAAGGTAAGGATCCTGGTTTTGGATAATTCAGTATTGGGAGTACATGCATGACTCATAAAGCTGGCAGAACCCATTCTTATTATAGCGATTCAAAGATTCCCATTAATCAAGTGTAGAGTACTGATTTTTGAATTGGGTTACTGCTTTGATTAGTATATTGCTTAATTTTCCATTCTGGAGTTTGGAAGTTTGAATATAGGCATAAATTGTTAAGCGAGTATAAATAGGCTAACCATTCACAACTGATTCTCTAAGCATTTGTTGAATTAAAACAACAAATATTCAAATGATTCATGGACTTAAAGCAAAATGTGTGTACACTGTTGTTTATCTATTTTAATGATGTTGGACAGATGGAATAGGATTTCTGCATCTTCTACTATTATGACCATATTGACCACATCGCTTGCACTTTTTCGATTTTTTGAACTCTCCCACTGATGGTATCCTCTGTTTTCTTGGTCTACCAGCACCACACTTTATGTGAGGAGGAAAGACAATAGTTGGCGTTTCTATGTTAGGAACTACCCACTCATGTGGATTTCCCCATGAATGGATCGTAGCTGAAAATGTAGATGCATAAGATTCATTGTAGTAATACGCTGAGACAAACGAGTGCACACTAAGATTGCATTTGTTGATAACAGCACATGTGTGTGCACATGATATTTCTCCATGATCCCATCTCCTACAAATGCACTGTCTGGTTTGCAAATAAACCACATAGGAGCGACCAGCTTGCAAAACAGTGTACTCGTTAATGTCATTGGGACGCACCTGTAATAATGGTAGATTATTATTACTAGAAACATGGGCTAGAAGTAGTAGAAATTCCTACAAACAACAGAATACTAGTAATTGATGGCTAATAGTAAGCAAACATTCAAAAGGAAAATAAAATAAAATGTAGTTAAAATACATAAACTAGTATAACCAGTCACAAAATATCTGCAAGAATAACATATAATAAAAAGAACATATAAACTAGCATGATAATGACCTCCATATGCCTTCCGTGAATAACTTGATCAGCCAGGAGTTGCCCCGCCGAAGGAGTTAAGCGGGTATGAATTGATGAGGCATCAACTCGACGATCAACAAACCATGTTTGCAACTTCTCTTGTATTTTCTGAATCAATGGAACAATGGGTAAGTCTCTTCCCTCTTCCAATGCATTGTTCATACTTTCAGATATGTTTGTAATATCATTCCCATATCTATGACGTTTATAATAACAATGTGCCCATTTTTCATAGCCAATCTGAAGAAGATATGCACGTATGTCTGCTGCAAGTTGTTCTAAATTATGCATTGATTGCTCAAAATGCGATAATTTGTAAACTCTGGCGCATTTGTTAAACAAATCAAGAATTGCAGGGTGCTTAAACTTTGTCCTCAAGTTACCAATCAAATGTTGAACACAAAACTCATGATCCGCACATGGGAAAACTTTCAAGACAGCTTTAGGGATGCTTGCTTTACTATCAGAAATAAAAACCATATGGTCACGAGGTGGAATCGTTTCCTTTAACTTCGTTAAGAACCACTCCCACGATGCATCTGTTTAAGAATCAACGATTGCAAATGTTATAGGGAATATATGGTTATTTGCATCCTTAGCTGATGCGATCAGGAGAATACCCGCAAACTTATTTTGGAGAAAAGTTCTGTCGACGGATATGATAGGCCGACAATAAGCACATCCAGCAATGGAAGCGGCAAATGATAAAAACAGTATTTAAAAGCACCATCTTCTTCAATCTGGAGAGCTGTAAGAGAACCCATGGAGAACCCACGCGATTTAAATGTTAGTGATGCCCGGTGTGATATAAAATTCTATTAATCTTGTATTAGAACATGTTCTGGAATTTAGAATATATGAATTTGTTGATTCTAAAGCATAACATAGAGCTGGTATAGGAGAATATGACGCCTTCGCCGGTCCTTGAAACTCTTCTAAAATAATATGTCTTGCTCGAAGAGCTTTGTAGTAACTGATTCCAACTTCATGCTCCTTGCGCATGAGATTCATAATAGTTTTTTGGGGTAGTGCATTGACAAGCAATAAATTTATCCTTAATACATTGACTGACAAAAAGACTTGTAACATGTTTGTGATCTCCCCTTATGACATCAAAATCACACGTGTGACGCTTCATAAATTCCCTAATCACCCAAACATCTCCACCACAATAACGTGATACACGAACCATCCAAGTACATCCATCATTTAAACACACAATGACAAGCGCCTCAGAGTTAGACGGAAGTGTATTGAATAGCTAACACATTTTGAATAGCTAACACGCAACGACAAGCGCATCATTTATTGATTGCATGCGTAACACATTTTGAATAACTAACTTGCTAAAAAAATATGTCACCTTCCTCAAAATCTTCTTGTTCACGGGTTTCCAATTCATTATTAATATGAATGGCAGCTCAAGTAAACGATGGCTAAACTGTGGTGGAGTTTGTATGTGAATTTGGCTGATTATCCAAAGCAGTGCCCAAATCAGGCGGACCAACTGATACAGAAAGAATTAGAGGACAATTTAATACATGTCTACTTTTTAATGCATTAAAATACCAAGACAAATCGTGGTCGTGCTTTATATGCAAAATGCTAAATGTTGGGCTTCCCCGATCATACGAAACCAACATCTTCATGTTCGATGTGGGACTTAATCCCAAAGGATTGTTCATTAAACCCGTAAGAGATACGTAATTGATATAATCATCAACAACAAATTCTCAAGATTTACCATTAACATAGCGGTTACTTTCGTCCCAATCTCCATTGTAACAAACAAACAGGGTAATGAACCCCATATGCGCTTGTAGACTTCGATTAATATTGATCGAGATAGGGTAGTGGACTCAGTGGAGCAGTTAAGGAATGAACGTAAAACCAACTTATAAGTGCATGTGATAAGATGGTTATAATGGGAATAACACACAATTTTGTTAGTCGATTAGGTTATATATGCTTAATTTACCTAAATATAGGATATTTATTTTGTGTCCATACGTAAAGATGTATATACACCACAATACTTCCTTACTATATTACTTCGTATTCCTTAAAACTAGAACTTTGTTGGCTTTTTTTTATATCCTAATAATTTTATCACTTTTCATTTTAAATAAAGAATTTGTGATTCTAATTAATTCTCTCTCCCCAGTATAAACTTTAATCACATAGTTTTTACTTTATTAATTCATAATATCCCGTAATAATTTAGAAACATAAAAAATACGAACTGTTTTAATATATAAAAATAATAATTTGGAGCTCACTTGTTTGACATTTTGATAGCATTTTTATGTATAAAATCATCGAATTTCTAGTGATTATGTATTACTTTTTATATGTGTAAATAGTTTGCATTATTAAAAGTCATTGCCATAATAAGTATTATAATTGATTTTTAAGCACTACTTGAAATTATTTAAAATTATTTTTCTTTTTGTTTTTGAAGTTGGAAGGACTCAAAGAGGTTTCCATACATGCAAGTTGCCACACTTACATGTGTGGCTTTTGCAGCCATTCCAATACGCGAAGGACAAAAGCCGAGTATCTATCAATCAATCAGTTAAAATTTAAAACAACACCATTATAATGTATATAGCCGTTATTAAAAAATAAAATAAAAAATTGAAAGTATAACTAGTAATAATAATAATGACAATAATAATATTAACATATATTAACAATAGCAATAGTTATAGTAACAATAATAGTAATAATATTATAATCAATAACATTTAATCACACAACAATATAAATTTAATTGAGGAAGTGAACGAGGATGAATACATTAACCTCTTTTTTTTTACAAATCATATTTTGTTCCATCACAAAAATTTCATAATTATAAAAGTAAATCAAATTAATTTGTGTTTGTTCGATATATATTTTTATAATATTCAAGATGACTGTAATTGTGATATTTAGTGTAAATAACGCTCCAAGGATTTGAAATGTAATGATGTTTATATATGTAATTGTATTGTACTTGTATATTCAATATATTTTTTAACATTTGAGAAATTTGAACTAGACGTCTTATTCTACTATGATGACCAAATTTTTATTGATATCAAACAACACGATTGTCATATTTTATTTACAAACAAAATTCAAAGGTTATTTCATTCTATTAAGTGTTGAATAAATTAAGCTGAGACTCGATGTTTGAAGTGATAAGAGCTTCAAAAACTACTTAGTGCATGTGTTTTGAATTTTTGACGTTTTTGCGTTGTAAAAAATAAATTGTGTTAATTTTTTCATGGGAAAAAATTAACGATTAAGAACCGATAAAAGTAAGAATCGAACTGTGTACTATTGGTTCGGTTTCACAACGGTTCTTGAAATTTTAGATAGGAATCGGAGTTGATTAGTTAATTGTTTTTGTAAGGGTACCATTAATTTTAGGGACGAACTTCGCGCACCCTTAGGAATGCTAAGCGCACCGACTTTTCACCTCAAAGAGACGAGTTTGGCCCTATGTTACACCTTACAACCGTTAATGCATTGAAATTTGCTATAGGTACCCCATACTTACCCCATTTCCTACCCCATATAAATACCCTCCCAAAAATTTACCCCCACTCCCTCATCTAGTCATCTTCCTTCCCCCTTATCTCCCTTTCATCTCCCTCTTTTCCAGCCAGCCCCTCTCCCTTTCATTTCCCTCAATTAAGCCCCACCTGCTTGGTTCCGGCGAACACCCAAGCAACTACGGTGGGAAGTCGGAAAACCCAGTCGGACACCACCCAAACCCCCGTCAGGCGTCAGGCCCCGACGACCCCCAACGGCAACGGCAAGGTAGCAGGAATGGAGATCTAACAGTAGCCGGACTATGTAACAGCAGGCGGAACTGATGCCCGGCAAGCCGGTCATCTTCTCCGGCGACACCTGACCGTTGTCCCAGTAATTTCAATGCCGGTCAGATTTAAAAACCTTCCACACCTTCTCCACCAACTTGTAATTTCAGTTCAAAACCTTCAAATTCCAGCGGCCATAACTTCGAAACATACCTGTGATTGTTCAGATCTGTTAGCTTTGGTTCAGATCTGTTAGCTTCAAATTCTAGTGAAAAGAGTTGTCTGGCATTCCATTTGATTTGTCTGTAATATGAAAATAGTTGTCTGTCTGGTGAAATTATGAAGTACTTGTGTATATTTAGACTACTCTGTGATGATATTGAGATGTCTGTCATGGTATTTTGAATATTATGTAATTGGTTTGGAGTTGTCTGTCAATTTATTTTGAATTGTTTAAAATTGGTTTATAGTTGTCTGTCATGTGAAAGTAGTTGTCTGGCAAGACATATTAGTTGTCTGGTACGTTAAATCCAATTATTTAAAATTGGTTTGTAGTTGTCTGTCATGTGAAAGTAGTTGTCTGGCAAGACATATTAGTTGTCTGGTACGTTAAATCCAATTGTTTAAAATTGGTTTGTAATTGTCTGTCATGTGAAAGTAGTTGTCTGGCAAGGCATATTAGTTGTATGTTACGTTAAATCCAATTGTTTAAAATTGGTTTGTAGTTGTCTGTCATGTGAAAGTAGTTGTCTGGCAAGACATTTGAATTGACTGTCAGTTTATTTTAAATGGTAGAAAATAGTTTTGTAGTTGTCTGTGAGGTAAAATTAGTTCTCAGGCAACCCATTTGAACTGTCTTGCATGTTGTTTGGAATTCATTAAAATTGGGTTGTAGTTTTCTGTCATGGGAATTGACTTCTCTACCAATGTATTGCAACAAATTGTCTGTAATGAGATATAAAATGTCTGGCCTTTCTACTGAGTTGTCTGTCTACAAGTCGGGAGAATGTGGCCCAGATTACTAATGTCTGACCAAGACAAAATTTGTTTGGCTATACGACGAAGAGTACTTAATTGGCCTAGACTACCAATGTCTGGCCAATACAAAATTTGTTTGGCTGTAAGACAGAGAGTAGTTAATTGTCCCAGACTACTAATGTCTAGCCAAGACAAAATTTGTCTGGCTGTACGACAGAGAGTAGTCCTTATTCTAACAGGAAAACCTACTCTTCTCCTTGTAAAGACTACATATGTAATTCATTCACCAAATTTGTCTTCACATTATCGATACAACCATGTTTAAAAAAAGGCACACACATTTATATAAAAACTTCATTACCAATACAACCATGTTTCCAAACAAAATCACATACATTTAAAGTTGTCTAACCACACACACATTTTATGTACGACTCTAACAACTATAAAACCACGTTCACTTCAAGCAACTATGAAACCACGTTCACTTTATGCTAGACAGACACTGCAGTTCCAAATTGTCTGTCCGCCAAACAAAATACAAACAAATGACGAAAAACAACATACTCTTCTCCTAGACTAACAAATACAGACATTGCACTTACAAGTTGTCTGTCAGGAAAGACAACCCTTTTTTTCGAAAACACACCAAAAAATGAAAAAATCGAGAAAAGTAGACCTGCTCAAGTCATTCTAAGCTTCTTGATCTGCACGTTCGCCGTTGTCTCCCCACGTCACCGAGCTCTCCCCTTCGTCCGATTACTTTAGCTCTTCCATTTGAAACAGAAAAAAGGCAGAAGAGGAGAGAAGCAGGAGAAGCTTGGAGGGAGAAAAGATTGTAAAAATGAGAAGACTTGATTGGGAGAGATCTTGAAATGGAGAAGAAATCAAGATTTGGAGAAAAGAGAAAGAAATGGGAGGGGATGGGGGCTGCGTGAAAAGAAAAGATGGAGGAGAGAGGGAGGGAAGGAGAAGAAAAGTGGGGGAGGGGAGAGGGTTTTGGAAAGGGGTAAAAGGGATGGTAAAAAGGAGAGTATTTATATGGGGTAGGGAATGAGGTAACTATGGGGTACCTATAGCAAATTTCTAATGATTACATACTACTCCGGTATTAAAAAAATGTTTAGTGGTACACATGGCTCTACATTTATATGTATTTTTTTGTTTAATAAAATCGCAGTGCTTTTCTACTCTTTATACTTCGTAAGAAATATTACCTGGACAACACATTAGTATAATATGCATTACCAATATTTTCAGAATGTTTTTTGTAGAACTAAAAACATTAGTCTAATCTAATTTATTTAAGATGGGTTTGATTTTGTTTGGTCTAAGATTAAAATCAATTTAATTACAAAATCCTTAAAA